CCAGCTCATTGGAGCCCCTATTTGTCATAGATTTTTGAGTTTGTTGTTGGAACCACAAAATAGGACAATTTTTTTCTTTAAAATTGTTGTAACTTCTGTATGCACTTTGCTTTAAACAAAACAAAACAAACCATAATCCGAGGGAGACCTGTGATTCTTGAGTAAGGACTTGTTCTCGGCATCTGGGATCCAGCAGTGAATAAAACAGATTTATGTCTCCATTAAGCTTTGCATGTAGTGACAGCAGTATATTACTGGAGAATGTCAGCAGCAAAATCATGCTCAACTCAGAAGCAAAGCACGGGGAATGGGAGGCAAGGGGACAAAAGAAGAAGATGATAAGCAAGCAGGGTCTGTCCAGTGGCTAAGAGCAGTGTCCAGAACAGAACAACGTGGTGCCAAAGGCTCAGAGCTCTGTATGTCACTGAAGATGGACAGCAGAGGCCCTCTGCCTCCTAGAGCCTGGCATGGATAATTACAGCCAATCTCTGGCCTACCCTGTAGGAAACTAAACCCAACTACCAGTGTTTGAATGAGGGAGCTGTTTGAAGTGTCTCGAACTGTACTTGGGTCCCTTGAGAGCACAGTATGCCTTTGTTACTCAGCAGAAGATAAGGCTCACTGTGCCCATTACCTCCTCTCTTCTATAGCTAAGGTACATTTCTGAGCCTCCATTCAATAAGAAGGTGATTGGTTCTGGCCAGTGCAAAGTGGGAAGCTGCGATGTGCCACTTCAGGCCAGCCCCACATCTTACTATGTGCCCTCTCTCTCAGCTCTCTCCTATTCCACGACTAGCAATGAAAAGGATGCAGTGGGCAACTGAGGCCTTAAGGGTGACTGGTCACTAATGGTAGAAAGGTATAACAAGACCCCTTTCTTTTTTAAAGTTCTTGTTGTTGTTATTTGTTTTTTGAAATAGGGTTTCTCTGTGCAGTTTTGAAACCTGTACTAGAACTTGCTCTGTGGACCAGGCTGGCCTTGAACCCCTCCTGCTTCTGTCTCATGAGTGCTAGGATGAAAGGTATGTGCCACAAATGCCTAGCAACAAGGCCCAGTTCAACACACATCAAAGATTACAAGGTAAGAACATACAACTCGGCACAGTGTGGTGGCACACACCTTTCATTCCAGTACTCGGGAGGCAGAGGCAAGATCTCTGAGGCTGTCTACAAGCACAGAGTGATTTCCAGGACAGCCAGAGTTACACAGAGAAACCCTGTCTCAAAAACCCAAAAGATAATATACTACTCTGTTGTACCAAGTGGAAAATTTTAGAGTGCATATACATTGGCTAATACAAGCATGTTACACGTCTATGAAAATGAGACTACCCTGAGCAGAAGTAACTTCCCAGCCAGATGTGGCAACACATACTTGCAACAGATCTTGAGAGGCGGATGAAAGAGAACTGTAGGTTCAAGTCCAGCCTGGACTAAATACTGCTGAGCTACACATAAGAACCCATCTCAGAAAACAAAAAGGAGGACTGGTGAGAGGCCTCAGTGGAAAAAGTTCCTGACAGCAAGCCTGATGAATTGAATTGCCCTCCCCTCCCCTCTTTCTTTCCCTCCCTTCCTTCCTTCCCCCCCCCACAAAATGCAAAATAATTTTTGTTTGTTTGTTTTTCTAGACAGGGTTTCTCTGTAGATTTGGAGCCTGTCCTGGAATAGCTCTTGTAGACCAGGCTGGTCTCGAACTCACAGAGATCTGCCTGTCTCTGTCTCCCAAGTGCTGGGATTAAAGGTATGTGCCACTGCCCAACTGCAAAACCAATTGTTAAGCAATCTAACTATAGCCTTTGCAAACAGCTTCTCTCTCTCTCTCTCTCTCTCTCTCTCTCACACACACACACACACACACACACACACACACACACACACACACCACACACACACACACACCGCAAAACAAACTTTAACAGTCTATCTACAGCCTTTGCAAATAGCCTTTGAATTTGGTAAATCTTTCTTGCTGAGAGACAGTTTTCCCACCAATTAGGAAACCTGAACACATTAGATTTCAGCACTATAACAAAGGTCTCCCAGGGAGTCCCTCTTCAGAAAGAAACTACACTGGAGGCTATATCTACCTTTCCATCATGTATTCCAGGTTGGTCAGTCTTGCTTGTCCTGCAGAGACAATGTGGACAGCATAGGAGCTAAGGGAGCGATGGACAAAGCCTCGGGAATGGAGGTAGATCAAGGCATCGGCGATCTGGAGCAGTAAGTGCACAATCACTTCCATGTGCAACACTGGGAACTGGGACCTCTGCAAGCAAGAGAGAAAGTTCCAAAACCAAAAGGAAAGACCTCCTGGTGTCATTTCCAAAGTCTCTTCATTTGATTCTCACACTTCCTGGTATTCTCATTCAGCAGATGGGGAGCCTAAATATCAGTGAGTTAAGTGACTGATCTATAGTTCCACTGATCCAGGCTGCTGCCTCTAAACCTCAGCACCTTTCCTACAGGTGAGGTGCTTTATATAATGACGCATTAGAAGAAAGTACTCTAAACTTGGTATGAGCATTCCAGCTTAACCTGGGAAACTGCCAGTAAAACTGCCCTGGCACCTCCCTAACCAGCACTGTGGCTGGGAGAACCTGGAAGCTCAAAGGACTCTACAAGTTGCAGAGAATCAACTCAGCTTCCAGCCCCATCAGATGAAAAGAAAGACTCTCTGCAGGGTCTCTTTACTCCCAGCCACAGCATTTAGAAGAAGGCCACGAAGAAAGAGCTCCTGGAAGTCATATCCTGGCCCAAAGAACACTTAGCTACAAGATCATGGAAGATATTCCTTCATCCCAAGGAAATCTGAGAGGTGAAAAGGAAAGCGATAAAGGTCTCTATGTAACAAACCAGGACAGAGCACAAGTAAAATGTAGGGGGAAAGAACCTGTGGCCAATGGCTCAGCCGGAATCGCATTAATGTTTCTGGCTCTCTTGAGCTATTGAAGAGCTGTTTTTAAGAAAAACAAAAAAACAAAAAACAAAAAAAACAAAGGCGCAAGACTGAGAAGCCAGGAATTGTGGCACATCCAGCACTTTGGAGGCTGAGTGGTAGGAAGGTCATGAGTTTGAGGCTAGTCATGGTTACACAGTTAAGCCTGTCTCAAAACAAAACAAGGTCAACTAGATGGTTCAGCAGGTAAGGGCGGCTGTGATTTAAGTCTGACAACCTGCTTTTGTTACCCAGAACCCACATAAAGGTGGAAGGGAGAACCAAGTCTACAAAGTTATCCTCTGATCTATAACTGTGGAATGTTATGCACCACCCCCTGATAAATTTGTTTAATGAAAGAAGGAAAAAGAGGAAGACTATTATTGTATCATGGCCAGTGAAGTGGCTCAGAGGTAAAGAAAGGTGTTTGCTCCCAAGCGTGGTGACCTGAATTCAATTCCTGGAACCCTCTGCAGAAGGAGAGCACGCCTTCCAACAAGCTGTCCTCTGACTTCCATAGGAATAACGCAGACGGACAAGACATACAAATCAATTGACCAACCAATGTGAAAAACATTAAATCACATTAGTTCAACGTTTGCTTATCAGTCTTATCTGGCATGTTACACCACATGCAATTCATGAAAAAAATTTACAGATTCATCTCCTAAATGAGAACTCTGCAAAAATGGCAGGGATGAGGGCGGGGAGCAGAGTAAGGCACTGGGGAAATCTATAGAAAGACAATTTACTCGTTCGTGGAGGACACTGAACAGGGTGCCGACTGTGATACGCTCATACACCAGGCGAATTTTCTTCAGGTCCTGGGACAAACACACAGCCATCAGCTGCAGCAGGTTAGGGTGCCGCAGGTTGCTACAAAAGATAAAAATCTTCATTAGGGACAGGGCAGAGGGGAGCATGATGAAAACACAGGTGATAGTCTTTAAGTCATCTGAACACATTCTAAACAAACTCCACTTATAGCCGGGCATGGTGGCTCAACCTATAATCTCAGTACTCAGGAGATAGAAGCAGGAGAAGCTCAAGTTCACCCTCTGCTACACAGTGAGCTCAAGTCCAGTTTGGGATGCATGAGATCTTGTCTCAAAAACAAACAGCGCAGAAAAACAAAAGCCAACAAATCACAACTTATATGCATCATTTTTTTTAGAAAATAAAACGAGTTCTGGAAGGGAAGACATCTATTGGAAGATGCTGAAAGTTTAAGAGTTATCAGTGGTGCTGGGCAGTGGTGGCGCACGCCTTTAATCCCAGCTCTCACAAGGCAGAGGCAGGCGGATCTCTGTGAGTTCTAGGCCAGCCTTATATCTACGAGAGCTAGTTCCAGGATAGGCTCCAAAGATACAGAGAAAGCCTGTCTTGAAAAACAAACAAAAAGAAAAAAGGAAAAAACAGGAAAAAAAAAGAAAAAGAAAAAGGCTGAAAAAATGCAGACTGAGCAAGATAGCAGCACTCCTCCATGGCCTCTACAGCAGCTCCTGCTCGCAAGCTCCTCCCTGTTTGAGTTCCTGTCCTGACTTCCTTCAATGACGAACAGCTATATGGAAGTGTAAGCTAAATAAACCCTTTCTTCTCCAAATATCTTTTTGGTCATGGTGTTTTATCACAGCAATAGAAACTCTGACTGAGAGCCTGCATAAGCTGCATACATCATCGCAGAAACACACCCTCCTACTCACTTTAGAAAAGCAGTACCCAAGCCAGGCAGTGATGGAGCACAACTTTAAGCCCAGCACTTGGGAGGCAGAGGCAGGTGGATCTCTGTGAATTCAAGGGCAACCTGGTCTACAGAGTGGGTTCTAGGTCAGCCAGGGTGGCTACACAAAGAAATCCTATCTCTGACAAACGACAAGAACTGGAGAGATGGCTCAGTGGTTAAGAGCACTGACTGTTCCTCCAGAGGACCCAAGTTCAATTCCCAGCAACCACATAGTGGTTTACAACATAGTGCTCTCTTCTGGGGTGCAGGCACACATGCAGGCAGATACATAATAAATAAATCTTTTAAAAATTTTTTAAAAATTCAAAAAAACAGCAATCAATGGTAGAATTTTCCTAGAAAGTTGGTACCCAGCATCACGCCAAAGCACACACCATGCCTACCTACCTGTGTAGGTCATTCAGGCTAGTTTCTTCAAAACAAGGGTTTATTCAGGAGCTAGCTCAGTGGCCTGGTATGAAATCATGAACCCAGTGTCTGACTCACCAAGAACTAAATAACATAACTCTAGAACTTCAGGAAGCCTTTGGAACTGAGATTCATGTCCTCAGTAGTCGAGATGTGGTTCTTATGGAGTGCTATGCTCTATGAAAGCAGGACAGTCGTTTGCTCTCCAGATGGGTACCAGTTCCCAAATGGAGCAGGCCTCAGGGGCCACAGCAGAAAAAGCAAATGGTTCTGGAGCCTGTTCATCTGAAGACATGAAGTTATGGGACAGATGATAGAATTGAGCCCCTTACCATCACAATCCACACACGTCATACTATCCATTAGTGTAGGGCCCGGGTCTGCCCTTGTTCGTGGGGTGCATTTGCGAGGACAGTTTCTGGTCAGCTAACTAAGCATCCTGTTTGTTCCTGTGTTCTCCCTGCCCTGCCTGGTGATTAGCTGTATGGCATTGCCTCCTTTGTTAATATGGTAATTTCCCACCTGCCTGGGCGGAGATCCTTGTGCAGCAGTTAGATACATAAGGATTCCCCAAAGTCTGAATAAACGACATTCGGCTGATCTCCTTTCACATGACCCTGGTCTCTTTGTGTGTTCTTTCAATCTCCAGGCCCTTGCCCGACTCGCATATGGTACAGTGGCACGAACTGTACCGAGGGTGTAACACAAAATCTGGTGTTACACATTAGTCCCTCTTTCTCTTCATAAGTGTTGTTGTTTGGAGATAGGGTTTCTCTGTGTGACAGCTCTGGCTGTCCTGGAACTCACTTTGTAGACCAGGCTGATCTTGAACTCTAGAGTTCTGGGATTAAAGACGCCAGTCACCACCACCCACCAGCCCTGTTGTAGGTCTTGTTCTTGGTTCTTCTTACCTGCTGTGCTCCTGCTCAGCAATCAATAAATCAGCCAATCTCAGTCTGCTACAATGAGGGTGGGTAGGGGGGTTCAATTCCTTCACTGTGACTCTGCTCCTGTTCCACACTAGGCTAAAAGAGGCGGAGATAGTGCCAAGAGAGGGGTTGAGCAGTCACTGCTTCAGTGAACCAGGTTTTCCTTCCCACAGACCCAGAAACCAGGCTCACACAGCATCCCTACTATCCCTTAGGGAGCTGGATCCCCCCCCACCAACTCCCAGGGTTTAAAGCAGCCTGGAGAATTAAGCGAGGAGGCAAAAGTCACGGAAGAATTCAAGGGAAGAGAATAATCCGGTAAGGTTTTTCTGTTAGACAGTGGTGACAGCAGTGTGGCTGATGGATAGGGCAGTGGTGATCGGAGAAGAGAGAATAGTTACGAGGCTGTTAGGACAGACAGGAGCCAGCTGTTCTCTGGATAGCAGCTAATTCATAAAGTCTATGGACAGTCTGCTTGTCACAACCGAGGGGGCCATGGACAGCTGCTAAAGACCCAGTGTGCAGAGATCAGGCTCATTCCTGAACATCCTACAAAGCACAGGTCTGACCACAGCTAAGAATCATCTATCCAAAAATGTGCAGTGAGAACCCCTAGTTTACACCTATGAGTTCTGTTTGAGGAGAAGCTATCAATCCACAGGTAGCTACTCTTCCCAGGGGACACTGGCCACTCCCACTTACTTGGTCATGACCATGTAGGGGCCACTGAAGAAAGAGAAGGTAGGCTCATCATCAGCTTGAATCACTTCCTTTTCTCCAATTACTGGAAGAGATCCTGGATATGTGAGCTGCATCCCTGGAGTGAGATAAAACTGAAACCAAGGAATAGCGTCAAAATGGGAGGAAAAAAACGGAAAAGCAAAATACCTGCAGAATCTTGTCACTTTCAAGTAGAGCTGTTCCTTACTTAGTAAATGCACCTATGTACTATCTTTGTTGGTGATGTTTGACTGATCTTTGAGACACGGTCTTACCATGTAGCCCAGGTTGGTCACAAACTCCAAGAGATCTGCCTGCCTGCCTGCCTTCCCAGTGTTGGGATTAAAGGTGTGCCCCCACCATGCCCAGCTGTACTACCTGTTTTTGAGTAAGATCTCCATATGCAGCTCACATAGACTTCAAATGCATGATCTCCCTGCCCTTACCTCTGGAGGACTGAGATTATAGGAATTACCATCTCATGTAACTTCTGGCCTTACTTTTTACAATGACACATTCTTCTAAAGGGTAGGGGCATAGGCATGATCCTACATGATCCACAACTGACTTTATACTATTTTGAATCTTGTAATATTCTTTCCCTTTTACTGAGGTGGTTCACAGACAGTAGTCCGACGTCTTGCCTGTAGTGATATGACTGGGACTGAGGGGATTGTGGTAGTCTGAATGAGAATGATGTTTGGTCCCCAGTTACTAGAGCTGTTTGAAAAGGATTAGGAGATGTGGCCTTATTGGAGGAGGTGTGTCACTCACTAAGTGTAGGTTCTGGGGTTTCAAAAACTCACTCCATTCCCAGTCAGCTCTCTCAGTTTTCTGTCTTGTGTTTGTGGGCCAGATATAAGCTCAGCTAGCGCTCTTGCAGCATGCCCACCTGCCAGATGTAAGCTCTCAGCTAGCACTCTTGCAGCATGCCCACCTGCCAGATGTAAGCTCTCAGCTAGCACTCTTGCAGCATGCCCACCTGCCAGATGTAAGCTCTCAGCTAGCGCTCTTGCAGCATGCCCACCTGCCAGATGTAAGCTCTCAGCTGGTGCTCTTGCAGCATGCCCACCTGCCAGATGTAAGCTCTCAGCTGGTGCTCTTGCAGCATGCCCACCTGCCAGATGTAAGCTCAGCTGGTGCTCTTGCAGCATGCCCACCTGCCGGTTGCCATGCTCCCTACCATAATGGTCATGCACTCTAAGCTTCTGGAACCATGAGCCCCCAGATGAAATGCTTTCTTTTCTAGATTGCCTTGATTATACTGTTTTGTCATGGCAATAGAAATGTAGCAAACAGGCAGTGGTGTCGCACGCTTTTAATCCCAGCACTCAGGAGACAGAGGCAGGCAGATCTCTGTGAGTTCAAGGCCAGCCTGCTCTACAGAGTTAGTTCCAGGACAGGCTCCAAAATCTACAGAGAAACCCTGCCTCAGAAAACCAAAAATAAATAAATAAAAATAAACTATTTTAAAAAAGAAATGCAGCAAAGACAGAGACCTACAGTGACCTCTCCAGAATTGAGGCCTAGGTGAGCAAAAGTGAATATAACGTGTGCTGAGGATACAGCATAGTAAAGCATCTGCATATCGTGCCAGACGTCCTGGGTTCACCCTCCACCAATAGCAGGGAAAAAGCCAGAATTCTTTTTGCCTTCGCCCTCACCCCAAGCACCTTGGTAAAAAACAATAGAGACTAGAAAAGCAAAGATAATTTGTTCCCTAGTGGGGTCACGTTCTACACACTTCCTATCTTGCCAGAGTCATTCAAATGAATTCTATATGGTGTTTATCATTTATCAGTAAAGACAGGAACACTAAGAAATATCTTTCCTACAATGAAAAGGAGCAAAGAAGAAAAAATACTCGGAGGCTAGGAGGGAGGAATTGAGGGCTGAGATCACATACAATTCAGTGACGAAGCACTTGCTTAGGATGCAAGAGCACTTAGAAGTTTCTCATAAAGGTCCCAGACCCTCTCCCTTAATAACGAGGCAGAAAACTGTTCCAGCTCTATGGGGTTGCTCCCCAATAACCTTGCCTCTGAGGTTGCTCCCCAATGACCTTGTACAGGTTTAATAAGTACAGCTGAAGTGCTTTTAATGAATTGAGGAATGTTTTGAGGACAAATAGTATCTCTGAATAGGGCAGTTTGCACCTGTGATCCCAGTTCTGGGAAGCTGACGCAGGACTGCTCTAAGTTTGAGAGCCTACCTCAAACCATGCCCAAAACAGAGAAGAGCTGAGTAAGGTGAAGAGATGTGGTCACATGATTCTCTAGCTAGACCAGCAAACCTCGGCTATGAGTAGCAACCTCTTACCTTTCCAAAGCCAAAGCTGTAGATATTTTGGGCAGAAATGATTCCAGGTTTCAGCTGTCGGTTAGGAGAACTATTTGGACTCCTAGAAACATTTAAAGGAGAAAAAGTAAGAATTTATCATTCATATCCAAAGGGAAAGCACTAACCCAAGGTTTCAAGACTGTGTAATTGTTGTCATAGTCGGCTTCAGCCATCAACCCGCCACAAACCTAGAGTCACTTGTAAACAGAGCCATCAATTAACAACCTCTCCAGACCAGACTGGCCTGTGACCAGGCCTGTGGGTCATTTCTTACTTTTTGAGTTGCGGGGGGCAGGGGAGTGGTTCAAGACAGGGGTTTCTCTGTGTAGCCCTGACTATCCTAGAACTTGTAGACCAAGCTAGCTGCAAACTCAGAGATCTGCCTGCCTCTGCCTCTTGAATACTGGGATTAAAGGCATGTGCCACCACCACCCGGCTATGGGTCATTTCTCAATTGCTAACTGATGCAGGAGGGCCCAGCCCACTGTGTGTAGAGAGCCATTCCTAGGGAAGTGGCCCGCACCGAGTAAGAAGTGAAGCTGAATAAGCCACTGGGAACAAGTAAACAGCGTTCCTCCCTGGTGCCTGCCTCTGCTCTTGCTGGAGCTCCTGCTGTGATGTTCCTCAGTGAGGAACTGCGATCAGGAAGCATAAACCAGATAATCACTTCCTCATCAATCTGATTTTGTTATGATACTTATCTCAGAAACAGAAAACAAGCTAAGGCAGCTAGCTGTCTTTGCACTACTGACCTTTTTTTCTTTGTCAGGTCTTTTTATCAAGCCCAGGCTGAGATCTTCTACCCATTCCTCAAGTGCTGGCACTGAGAAGCACAGGTTCTTTTGGAAGTATTAGTTTGGTTGATATAAGAACTTAAAAGAAAATTCTTTCAGCAGCTAAGAGCACTGACTGCTTTTCCAAAGGACCCAGGTTCAATTCCCAAAACCCACATTGCAGCTCCAGTTCCAGGAGATTTGACACCTTTACACCAATGCACACAAAATAAAGTTAAATAAATTATAAAAAAATTAAAAGTTAGGGCTGGAGAGATGGCTTAGAGGTTAAGAGCAGTGCCTGCTATTCCAAAGGTCCTGAGTTCAATTCCCAGCAACCACATGGTGGCTCACAACCATCTGTAATGAGATCTGGTGCCCTCTTCTGGCCTCTAGGCATACACACAGACAGAATATTGTATACATAATAAATAAACAAATAATTTTTAAAAAATTCAGAAGAAAACTCAAGGACAATTTGCTGAAGTTTGAAAAAACAAAACAAAAAACAGGACAGGCAAGTTGGAGAACTCTGCAACTTCACTGGGGGAGACAGGTAAGAGGAAAAAAGAAATTAGTGATGTTTTCTCTCTGCTTTAGAAAGGATATTGTGGGGCATGGATTATGCTAGAGGAATCGGACACATGCATGGATTATGTTCAATATGGTGCCCAAGAAGAAGCACCTGGCTGAAAATGCCCTTTCTGTTCCCTTTCTCCTGCCTAGCAGCTCTACAGGAATTACAGCTGTGCACATCATGCCAAGCTTGACTTCTTGTTGAGAGTATAATTGTTTGCCAGGCATGATGCTCACATCTGAAACCCTGACCCTTGGGAAGCCGAGACAAGTGGACTACTATGGGTTGGAGGACAAGAAGGGGCTAAATACGAGATCCCTGACTTAACAAGAAAGAAAGAGAAAAAGAGAGAAGAAAAGAAAAAAGAACAAAAAAGTTTTTTTTTTCTTTTTGAGACAGGGTTTCTCTGTGTAGCCCTGGCTGTCCTAGAATTCTGTTCTGTAGACCAGGCTGGCCTGGAACTCAGAGATCTGTCTGCCTCTGCCTCCTGACTGCCACCATACCATGCTGAGTCCTATATTTTTAAATTTTTTAAATATTTATTTATTTATTATGTATACAATATTCTGTCTGTGTGTATGTCTGCAGGTCAGAAGAGGGAACCAGACCTCATTAAAGATGGTTGTGAGCCACCATGTGGTTGCCGGGAACCGAACTCAGGACCTTTGGAAGAGCAGGCAATGCTCTTAATCTCTGAGCTATCTCTCCAGACCCTTTTAAAAATTTTTTATTTATTGTTTTTTAGTTGTATGGGTGCTTTGCCTGCTTATATGTCTGTGCAGCATGTGCATGCTGAACGCAGATCCCCTGGCCTGGAGTCACGGGCAGTTGTTGGCTGCCATAGAATCACAGTCCTTTACAAGAGCAACCAATGCTCTTAACCACTGAGCCATCTCTCCAGCCACCAAACAATTCATTTTCTTTTCTTTCTTAGACAGGGTTTCTCTGTGTGTAGCTCTGGCTGTCCTGGCACTTGCTCTGTAGACCAGGCTGGCCTCAAACTCACAGAGATCCCCTGCTTCTGCCTCCCAGATGCTGAGACTAAAGGCGTGTGCCACCATGCCCACCCTGTCTTTTTATATTATTATTAAAGAGGGTTACCTTAAAGGGCTTGGGAAAAGCAAGCTAGTGCATTCCTATAATCCCAACACCTAATAGGCTACAGTAAGAGACCCATGGATGCTTTGAGGTTAACCCAGGCTACACAGAAAGATCCAAGTCAGCACAGGTTACAGAATTTGTAATCCCAGCACTTAGGAGGTAGAAGCAGAGGATCCAGAGTTTAAGGTCATCCTTAGTCATACATCAAGTTTGAACCAGCCAAGGCTACATGAGACCCTATCACAAAAAGGAGGGGGGAGACTTTGGGCAGCCGAGAGTGGTAGTACACACTGTAATTCCAGCATCCGAGAGGCTGAGGCAAGAGGAATTCAACTTTGAAGCCATCCTGACCTAGTGAGTTTAAGGCCAGCCTGGGCAAAGTTGTACATGTCTGTAGCCCCAATCCTTGGGAGGTAAAGACAGGATCCAGAGTTCAAAGCTATCTTCTGCCACGTAGCAAACTGGAGGCCAGCCTGAGTTATGGGAGTAGGGATGACAAAGGACAGTGGTTATCGACAGGCAGCGATGGCACATGGTGGCAGCAACTGGCACTGAGGTGGATGGCTCTGTGTTCTTCCTGCCAACAGCCACACAGAAAAACAGCAAACACTTCACTATCTTAGCACAGGGGCCAGGGTAATTTTCTCTGTATTCCAACCTTAGAACATGTATAACCAGATGAACATAACTAGTTGACTTTTGAATTATGAAATGAGATGGTGTAATAGACACCCTCTGAGGACGACCTGGGATTCTCACCTCCTGGTGTTTACACCCTCACATTTCATTCCAGGCTGCTCTGCTGATTCAGTAGGATATTGCAGAAATAATGGACTGAGTTACTTGGGTGGAGGAAGGATGGCTTAATGGATAAAGGTGATTGCCACTGAGTTTGATGACCAGAGTTTGATCTCCAAGGTCCACATGGTGCGGAGATATTGGACTCCCACAGGTTGTCCTTTGATCTTCACTCATGCATGATGGCACGTGCACATGCGCACACACACACTAAATAAGATATGACCAGTCACCACCAAAGTAAGATCTATCCTGACTTTTGTCATGATCTCTCTTGGTTCACTGGTTCCGGGGGAACTCTTAGGACATTCAATCAGTCACCCGTGATCCAATCCTAACAATAACGTGCCAGTCATGTTAGTGTGTCATTTTAGAACTGAACCCCCATTTAGGTAAGACTTCAGATGATGGCACCCCCTCCCAACCCATTCTCTTATTCCTGACCCACAGAAAATGTGTGAAATCAGAAATAGTGTTAAATTGGAGAAGTGATTCATCATGCACCAACAGACACAAATAACGGTCAGAGCTGGAAAGACTCTCAAAGCACATCTTCCACAACTTTTCATTTTACAGATGGGAAAACACAGCCTCAAGAGGGGGATCTGCTAGCCTACGAACGGACAGAGGACGTCTGCAAGGACTAGACATAAATGCTGCTCATCCAGCCGCTGGTCTTCCCACTATCACACTCAAACCACCTGCACACCAGGGTCCCATCGACTCAAATTTGACTGGAAACAGTAATAGTGCCTTATAGTTCTCTAGCTTTTAAGAGGTTGGCACTGTGTCAGCCACGCATTGGATGCTCAGCTGATGGTTCAGCAGTTTCAACTCGGGCTGAATGAAAACTAGTCAGCTGCCAGGTGTGATGGCACACACCTTTAATCTCAGCACTCAGAAGCAGGCAGGCTGATTTCTGAGGTCGAGTCAGCTTGGTCAGAACAGTGAATTCCAAGACAATCAAGGCTATGTAGAGAGACCATGACTCA